AGCTTTGTAGAATGTATTTGACTTTTATTTGATACAAATAGCTTTGTTTGAATGTTTTTGACTTTCATTTGATTCAATTAGCTTTGTAGAATGTATTTTACTTTCATTTGATTCAAATAGCTTTGTTTGAATGTGTTTTACTTTCATTTGATTCAATTGGCTTTGTAGAATAAATTTGACTTGAATTTGATGCAAATAAAATTCTTTGAAAGTGTTTGACTTTCATTTGATTTAAATAGATTTGTAGAATGCATTTCACTTTCATTTCATTTAAATAGCTTTGTTTGAACGTGTTTGAGTTTCATTTGATTCAAATAGCTTTGTTTGAATGTGTTTGACTTTCATCTGATTCAATTAGCTTTGTAGGATGCATTTCACTTTCATTTCATTTAAATAGCTTTGTTTGAACGTGTTTGACTTTCATTTGATTCAAATAGCTTTGTTTGAATGAGTTTGACTTTTATGTGATTCAATTAGCTTTGTAGAATGCATTTCACTTTCATTTGATTTAAATTGCTTTGTTTGAATGTGTTTGACTTTCATTTGATCAAATAGCTTTATTTGAATGTGTTTGACTTTCATTTGATTTAAATTGCTTTGTTTGAATGTGTTTGACTTTCATTTGATTCAAATAGCTTTATTTGAATGTGTTTGACTTTTATTTGATTCAATTAGCTTTGTAGAATGTATTTGACTTTCATTTGATTCAAATAGCTTTATTTGAATGTGTTTGACTTTCATTTGATTCAATTAGCTTTGTAGAATGTATTTGACTTTCATTTGATTCAAATAGCTTTGTTTGAATGTGTTTGACCTTCATGTGATTCAATTAGCTTTGTAAAATGTATTTCATTTTCATTTGATTTAAATTGCTTTGTTTGAATGTGTTTGACTTTCATAATATTCAATTAGCTTTGTAGAATGTATTTGACTTTCATTTGATTCAAATAGCTTTGTTTGAATGTTTTTTACTTTCATTTGATTCAATTAGCTTTTTAGAATGTATTTGACTTTCATTTAATTCAAATAGCTTTGTTTCAATGTGTTTGACTTTCATTTGATTCAATTAGCTTTGTAGAATGTATTTAACTTTTATTTGATTTAATTAGCTTTGTTTGAATGTATTTGACTCTCATTTGATTCAAATAGCTTTATTTGAATGTGTTTGAGTATCATTTGATTCAATTAGCTTTGTAGAATGTATTTAACTTTCATTTGATTTAATTAACTTTGTTTGAATGTATTTGACTCTCATTTGATTCAAATAGCTTTGTTTGAATGTGTTTGACTTTCATTTGATTCAATTAGCTTTGTAGAATGTATTTGACTTTCATTTGATTCAAAAACCTTTGTTTGAATGTATTTGATTCATATTTGATTCAAATAACTTTGTTTGAATGGGTTTGACTTTCATTTGATTCAAATAGCTTTGTTTGAATGTGTTTGAATTTCATTTGATTCAATTAGCTTTGTAGAATGTATTTGACTCTCATTTGGTTCGAATAGCTTTGTTTAAATGTGTTTGACTATCATTTGATTCAATTAGCTTTTTAGAATGTATTTTACTTTCATTTGATTCAAATAGCTTTGTTTGAATGTGTTTGACTTTCATTTGATTCAATTAGCTTTGTAGAATGTATTTGACTTTCATTTGATTCAAATAGCTTTGTTTGAATTGTTTTGACTTTAATTTGATTCAATTAGCTTTGTTGAATGTATTTGACTTTCATTTGATTCAAATAGCTTTGTTTGAATGTGTTTGACTTTCGTTTGATTCAATTAGCTTTGTAGAATGTATTTGACTTTCATTTGATTCGAATAGCTTTGTTTGAATGTGTTTGACTTTTATTTGATTTAATTAGCTTTGTAGAATGCATTTGACTTTCATTTGATTCAAATAGCTTTGTTGGAATGTCTTTAACTCTCAATTGATTCAAATAGCTTTGTTTGAATGTGTTTGACTTTCATTTGATTCAAATAGCTTTGTTTTAATGTGTTTAACTTTCATTTGATTCAATCAGCTTTATAGAATGTATTTGACTTTTATTTGATTTAATTAGCTTTGTTTGAATGTGTTTGACTCTCATTTGATTCAAATAGCATTGTTTGAATGTTTTTTACTTTCATTTGATTCAATTAACTTTATAGAATGCATTTCACTTTCATTTGATTTAAATAACTTTGTTTGAATGTGTTTGACTTTCATTTAATTCAAATAGCTTTGTTTGAATGTGTTTGAATTTCATTTGATTCAATTAGCTTTGTAGAATGTATTTGACTTTCATTTGATTTAAATAGCTTCGTGTGAATGTATTTGACTCATATTCGATTTAACTAGCTTTGTTTGAATGTGTTTGACTTTCATTTGATTAAATTAGCTTTGTAGAATGCATTTCACTTTCATTTGATTTTAAATAACTTAGTTTGAATGTGTTTAACTTTCATTTGATTTAAATTGCTTTGTTTGAATGTGTTTCACTTTCATTTGATTCAATTAGCTTTATAGAATGTATTTGACTTTCATTTGATTCAAATAGCTTTGTTTGAATGTGTTTAACTCTCAATTGATTCAAATAGCTTTGTTTGAATGTGTTTGACTTTCATTTGATTCAATTAGCTTTGTAGAATGTATTTGACTTTCATTTTATTCAAATAGCTTTGTTTGAATGTATTTGACTTTCATTTGATTCAATTAGCATTGTAGAATGTATTTGACTTTCATTTGATTCAAATAGCTTTGTTTGAATGTGTTTGACTTTCATTTGATTCAATTAGCTTTGTAGAATGTATTTGACTTTTATTTGATACAAATAGCTTTGTTTGAATGTGTTTGACTTTCATTTGATTCAATTAGCTTTGTAGAATGTATTTTACTTTCATTTGATTCAAATAGCTGATGTAAAAACTAGTAGATGAAATTAGTTTAAACAAGTTAATGAATCAAGCTTAAGCAAAGGATTGATTTTAGGTTGGGGTTTAGGTATGTTTATGTAGAATTTAGGTGTAGGTTTGTAAGGATTACTCACTTAACAAACAAGGATATGAAGGCAAGGATTTCTCACTCAACCTACTAAGTTCAAATTGTATGGAAGGATTACTCACTTAACCACTCAACCTCTTCAAGTCTAACTTGGTACAAAAACCGGTTATTTCACAAACAAATAATCAGTTTTTAAGTTCAAGCAAAAGCTCTTTTTCATTGGTCAAAATCTCCTTACAAACTACAATTACATGCCTTTTATAAGCAACTAAAAGAACTAACAATCATTGCTTAACTTAAAGAAGCAAACTGATTTATTAAAGCTTTAAACAACGAAAATGAAACTAAGCCTAAATTACGTCTAAGTGCAGCAGCCTCTTAGTCTTCATATGCCCCTTAACGTCCTTATTAAACGCATGTAAATGAGCTAAGCAAACAGCCACAAATTCAGCAAGAAAACCGTTGGAGGTGCATTTGTAACCCCTCCTTGATTCACGCCCCTTTCATTATTCATGCATTGAAGTTTCTCCTTGAGTTCCTCTCAACTGAAATGGCTGTTCAAAATGCTTCAATTAACGTGCTTAATGAGCAATTAAGCAAGTAAATCCATGATTAAAACCAAACGGACCATGGGCAGCAAAAGAATCCAAGGTTTGGTCTTCAAATGATTTCGCAAGTATCACTTCTTTGGATGAACCGTAACTTGGACTTGTGCTTGGACTTGGATGAAAATTGTGACTAGGACTAATAGGACTTTCGTGATTTGCATCATCCTCCCCTTCTTCGAAAGGAGTTGTCCTCAACTCGTCATCTTCTAAATAAGGAGCTAGGTCACCAATATTGAAAGTTGATGAAACTCCAAATTGCCCTCCAAGATCAACTTTTTATGCATTATCATTGATTCTTTCCATGATTTGAAAAGGACCCTCTGCCCTTGGCATCAACTTGTGCTTTCGTTGCTTAGGGAATCTTTCTTTTCGAAGAAAAATCCAAACAAGATCACCCACTTCGAATTTTCTCACATTGCTCAAGTGTTTGTTTGCTTGCTTCTTGTAGGACTCGTTAGCTTTCTCAATGTTCTTCCTTACTTCTTTATGAATATTCATCATGAACTCAACATGCTCCTTGGCTGTCCCATGAACAAATTTGTCCTTAGGAATTGCAATGTAATCAATAGGAACATAAGGATTGACCCCATAAACAATTTCGAATGGTGAGTACTTCGTGGTTTTACTTGGAGTTCTATTGTAAGCAAATTCAGCATGAGCTAGCTTTAGATCCCAATCTTTCCCTCCTTTGTTCACTAAGGCACGCAGCAATGTTCCAAGAACTCTATTCACCACCTCAGTTTGACCATCCGTTTGTGGATGATGGCTAGTTGAGAAAAGTAGCTTGGTACCCACGAGCCTCCATAATGACTTCCAAAAATGGCTCACAAACATTGTATCACGATCTGAAACAATGGTTCTAGGCAAACCATGTAACTTAGCCACCTCCTTGAAAAAAATTGAGCCACGTTATAAGCATCATCCACTTTTTTACAAGCAATGAAATGGGCCATCTTCGAAAATCGATCAACAACCACCATGATTGAATCTTTTCCACGAGCTGTTCTAGGCAAGGCCATGATGAAATCCATACTCAAATCCTCCCAAGGTCTTTCGGGAATTGGCAAAGGCTTGTATTCACCTCTATGAAAGGTCATTTTAGCCCTTTGCCAAGTAGAACATCTAGCTAGGATTTGGTGCACGTTAGCTAGCATCTTTGGCCAATAAAAATGACTTTGCAAGATCTCTAGGGTCTTTTGAATACCCATATGACCAGCAAGGCCTCCTCCATGAGCTTCCCTTATCAATAAGTCACGAATTGCCCCTTTAGGAACACAAAGTTTGTTTCCTTTGAAAAGAAAACTATCCACCATCACGAATTGACCATTTACTCCATGTTTGCAAGCTTCAATGATTTCCATAAGTTCATGGTCATCTTTGTAAGCTTCTTTCATAATTTCAAAACCAAGGACCTTAGCTTCCATGATTCCAAGTAGGGTATGCCTCCTTGACAAAGCATCAGCCACAATGTTGGCTTTCCCTTGCTTATATTTCGTAGCAAAATTGAAGGATTGAAGGAACTCTACCCACTTAGCATGCCTAGCATTCAATTTTTTTTGGCCATGTATGAACCTCAAAGACTCATGATCCGAATGCAAGATGAATGGTTGTGGCCTCAAATAATGTGACCAATGATCTAAGGCTCGAACCATGGCATAAAATTCTTTGTCATAAGTGGAATAGTTCAATTTCCCTTGGCTCAATTTCTCACTAAAGTAGGCAATGGGTTTTTTCTCTTGGATTAGGACAGCCCCTATTCCCTTCCCACTTGCATCACACTCAACTTCAAAGGGTTTCATGAAATCAGGTAAGGCTAAAACAGGTGCCTCACACATCTTTTTTTTCACTAGTTCAAACGCCTCTTGGGCTTGAGGGTTCCATTGGAAGGTTCCTTTCTTTGTACACTCGGTGATAGGAGCCATAAGGGTACTAAAGTTCTTAATGAACCTTCTATAGAAAGAGGTTAGTCCATGAAATGAACGAACTTCAGTTATGGTTTTTGGGATAGGCCACGAAGCAATGGCTTCTATTTTGCTTGGATCCACCTTGATTCCATCTCCTGAAACAATGTAACTAAGAAAAACAATTTCGGTTAGCAAAAAATGACACTTCTCCAACTTCCCATACAATTTTTTCTCCCTCAAAGTTCTAAAGATTTCTTCCAAGTGCCTCAAATGATCTTCCTCATTTGTACAATATGATGTGATTTTTAGTCCGAAAACTAAGCCTCACAAAGATATGAATCTAACCTAATTCTATACAGAAAATTCACCAAGAATTAAGCAAGAAACTTAGATTAATTAATCAAGAATCCACCTAATTAATCAACCTAGGTGATTGTTTTAACTAAAACAAACAAAACAGCAAATTGGAATCCACCAATCAAGAATTTAAGTAATCCAACTTAAACAAAAGCAATAAGAAATATTATTATGAATGTATGATTAAACTTGTATATTATTCGAAGATTACAACCCTATATTTATAAACTCAATCAATTATCCTAATCCCACTTGAATTAGAATTCTAATCCCCTAACAAAAACCCACGGATTGCATAACTTAATCAAGTTTAGATAACTTTGATTTAGTTATTTAATCCTACTTAAACTCTAACTACTCTTAAGATAAAACTTGCCTATTTTATCCTAACTCAAGCTTGCACTCCAAGCTATTATTGACGCCTACTAGACTAAAACAATTCCTAATGCAATTAGAAATCCTAAGTGCTTAAAACAAGAAAAACCCTTTCAAGTGAAAGGTAAAAACTTGTAAGCAAAAACCTAAGAAAGCTTTTAAAGAAACCTTAAAGAACTATCAAGAAGCTTCAAGAACTCCCAAGAACGCCACCATACAAAGCGTGGCTTTGTCTTGATGCCCCCGATAGTAAGTTTGACCTATTGAAGAAGCTTCCAAGTATAGATTCATGCTTTCTTGACTTTCTTGGAATAATTCTTCAACATGCTCATCGTTCACATTGATGCACGCATCATCCTCCCCTTCTTCAAAAGAATTTGCCCTCAAATCTTCAATAGCACCATCTGGCAAATACTTCACCAAATCCCCAATATTAAATGTTGCGCTTACACCATATTCTCCCGGCAATTCAAGCTTATATGCATTCTCATTGATCTTCTCAATAATCTTGAACGGCCCCTCACTTCTTGGCATCAATTTATTCTTTCGTTTGTTAGGAAATCTCTCTTTTCTCAAGTGTAGCCACACCAAGTCGCCAACTTCAAAACTTTGTGGCTTTTTGTTCTTGTTAGCTCGTGCTTTGTAGAGTTCATTGACACGTTCAATCCTAGCTCTAACTTGTGCGTGTAGCTTTATCATGTACTTGATTTTAGTCTCGGCATCCTTATGAATCACTTCCCCTTTTGGAATTTCAATTAAATCAATGGGCATTTTTGGATTGACACCATAAACAACTTCGAATGGTGTGTGTTTTGTGGCATAAGTAGGTGATCTATTGTAAGCAAACTCGGCATGAGCAAGCTTAATATCCCAATCTTTTTGTGTGTTGCTCACTAGTCCACGTAGAAGCACACCAAGAGTTCGATTTGTTACCTCCGTTTGTCCGTCCGTTTGCGGGTGATATGATGTACTAAATAACAGCTTCGTTCCCACCAACTTCCATAGTGATTTCCAAAAGAAACTCATGAACTTTGTATCACGATCACTCACAATACTGTTCGGCAACCCATGTAGTCTCACCACTTCCTTGAAATACAATTCCGCCACTTTCATAGCATCGTCCACTTTGTGACAAGGTATGAAATGAGCCATCTTGGAAAATAGCTTTGAACCATGCAATTCGTCTAACAAATCATCAAGTCTAGGTATAGGAAATCTATACTTGATGGTTATGTTGTTCACACTCCTACTATCAATGCACATACGCCAACTCCCATCTTTTTTTGGAACTAACAATGTAGGCACGGCACATGGGCTCATACTCTCTTTCACGTAGCCTCTTTGCATCAATTCCTCTATTTGACGTTGCATTTCCTTTGTTTCTTCCGGATTACTTCTATATGCTGCCTTGTTAGGTAGTGGAGCTCCCGGAATAAGATCAATTTGATGTTCAATACCACGAATTGGTGGTAATCCCGGTGGTAATTCACTAGGAAAAACATCACAATACTCTTGCAATACTACTTCTAATTCCACGGGCCTCTTTTCTTGTTTACTTTCATTCACTTGCACATTGTTAGCCACCATAATATATACTATATTGTTGTTGTTGATCTCTTTCTCCAACTCCTTTTCCCCAATTAAATATGCACCTTTTGAACTAGGGTTAATTCTATGATCAACAAGTGGTTTCAATGCATATGATTTTTCCCCCTTTCCTTTTCGAATTATATACACATTTGTCCTACCATTAAACTTGACAAATCTATCATATTGCCATGGTCTACCCAATAAGATATGACAAGCATCCATAGGGCATACATCACATAAAACTTTATCATGATATTTGCCAATTGAAAAGGTGATTAGGGCTCGTTTCGTTACCTTCACGTCACTAGCATCATTGAGCCAATGTAGCTTGTAAGGTTTTGGGTGATCGGTTGTAGGCCACTCTAATTTGTTGATCAAAGTTGTAGACACCACATTTGTGCAACTTCCCGAGTCTATTATTACGTCACACAATCGATCTTCCACCTTGCACCTTGTTAAAAAGATTTTCTCTCTTTGATTCTCTTCAACGGGCATAGGTTTAGAGTGAAGAGCTCTCCTTAGAACCAAGCTCTTTCCTTGCGTTTCACCATCAACCTCTTCGGCACTACCCTCCTCTTCTTCAAAATCACGTTCTTTCTCGACCACAACCTCCATGTCACTATTTCCCTCGCACCTAGCTTTCTCTTCTTCCCATTCTTGAGCCGTCATAGTGCGTTTTGAGTAGCAATTGCTTGCTATGTGGCCAACACTCCCACATTTGAAACATTTTCTATCTTCGGTCACCTTCTTGCTAGCTTCGTTTCTGGGTTTGTTATCTTTAGCATACGGATTAGGAGAAGTCCTATCAAAGGTAGGCTTGTCACTAGCCTTTGTGAACGTGCGTGTGAACGGTTTCACACTTGAGGTCTTCTTGGCCTTGAATTGTCTTTCAACCTTAATGGCCGCCTTGCATACTTCTTCAAACGAATAGTATTCGTGCAATTCAATCTTCTCTTGAACATTTTCGTTCAAACCTGCAATAAAACGTGCTATTTTGTGCTCTAGAATTTCTTCTAAATCACACAATAAACATAGTTTCTCAAACTCACACAAATAAGCCTCCACGGATTGATTTCCTTGCTTAAAAGTCTGCATCTTGAGATACACTTCTTGCACGTACTCATGGGGCACAAATTGACGCTTCATATATTTCTGCAATTGTGTCCAAGTAGTGATCTTGGATCGTCCCTCCTTGCGTCTCTTTTTCTTGAGATTATCATACCATAAACTCGCATAACCTGTGAGTTTTAATTCAGCAAGTTTGCACCTCTTTCGTTCATCATACTCCTTGTAATCAAAGAGTGTTTCGGCTCTTCTAACCCACTCAAAATATTTTTCGGGGTCTAGCATACTACCATTGAATTCCGGAAAATCTAACCTTATATTTCGGTCATCATCTTTGGCCTTGTTCTTCCGTCTATGCCTTCTAGGTTCATCACTCGAAGATGAATCTTTATGTCGTGATCTACTTGCTTTTCTCCTGTCATATTCGTCTTCACTTGAACTAGAAATTGCAACTGATTTGTTCTTCCTTGAAGATGAAGTTTTGTCACGTTCGTCAAGCCTAGCCAATACTTCTTGCAATTGTTGTGACAATCGCTCTATTTGACGATCCCTCCGCAAGTTATGCGCTTGATCAAGGTTCAAACCCCTTGGAATCCCTGGGATTTCTTCGTCACTCATTGCTCCTACACAAACCAGGTTTGTTTATGCAAAAATCTTGATTAAAAGATCAAATCTTGAAGGAATCTTGAAGCAAACAAAAACCGGACTCCCAACCACAACCCAGTGCAACAACACCAAACGTTTAAGGCTGTACAGAGTTCGTTACTCAACCAAAAGCTACGAAATTTTATATGGTGATAGCTAGACGTTTTTAGAGACTAATGCAAAAAGAATCACTCAAAAATTCCCAGCCAAACGTTACCAGTTTATTTTCTACCGAAACCGTGCTCTGATACCAAGATGATGTGATTTTTAGTCCGAAAACTAAGCCTCACAAAGATATGAATCTAACCTAATTCTATACAGAAAATTCACCAAGAATTAAGCAAGAAACTTAGATTAATTAATCAAGAATCCACCTAATTAATCAACCTAGGTGATTGTTTTAACTAAAACAAACAAAACAGCAAATTGGAATCCACCAATCAAGAATTTAAGTAATCCAACTTAAACAAAAGCAATAAGAAATATTATTATGAATGTATGATTAAACTTGTATATTATTCGAAGATTACAACCCTATATTTATAAACTCAATCAATTATCCTAATCCCACTTGAATTAGAATTCTAATCCCCTAACAAAAACCCACGGATTGCATAACTTAATCAAGTTTAGATAACTTTGATTTAGTTATTTAATCCTACTTAAACTCTAACTACTCTTAAGATAAAACTTGCCTATTTTATCCTAACTCAAGCTTGCACTCCAAGCTATTATTGACGCCTACTAGACTAAAACAATTCCTAATGCAATTAGAAATCCTAAGTGCTTAAAACAAGAAAAACCCTTTCAAGTGAAAGGTAAAAACTTGTAAGCAAAAACCTAAGAAAGCTTTTAAAGAAACCTTAAAGAACTATCAAGAAGCTTCAAGAACTCCCAAGAACGCCACCATACAAAGCGTGGCTTTGTCTTGATGCCCCCGATAGTAAGTTTGACCTATTGAAGAAGCTTCCAAGTATAGATTCATGCTTTCTTGACTTTCTTGGAATAATTCTTCAACATGCTCATCGTTCACATTGATGCACGCATCACAATAGATGAGAATATCATCTAAGTAAACAACTACAAACCTCCCCAAAAAGGGTCTCAACATCTCATTCATAAGCCTCATGAAAGTACTCGGGGCATTTGTTAAACCAAATGGCATAACAAGCCATTCATACAACCCATGCTTGGTTTTAAAAGCTGTTTTCCACTCATCACCCTCCCTCATACGAATTTGGTGATACCCACTTCTCAAATCAATTTTTGAAAACACTCTAGCCCAACTCAACTCATCCAACATATCATCAAGCCTAGGTATGGGAAACCTATACTTAATGGTTATATTGTTCACAGCCCTACTATCAATACACATCCTCCATGTTCCATCTTTTTTAGGCACTAACAAGGTAGGAACAGCACAAGGACTCATAGACTCTCTCACATAACCCATTTGCATTAACTCCTCAATCTGTTTTTTGCAACTCTTTAGTTTCCATGGGATTACATCTATAAGGTGGTTTGTTAGGAAGGGGTGCTCCCGGAATTAGGTCAATTTGATGTTCTATCCCACGAATGGGAGGTAATCCCAAAGGCAACTCATTAGGAAAAACATCCTCATAAGCTTTGACTAATTCGGCCAACCTAGGGTTTTGTTGAATAAACCCTTCATGCTCCTCCTTAAAAAACAACAAAAACACCTCATCTTCCTTCTCTAAGGTCCTTTCGAATTCTTTGAAAGAAAGTAACAAGATTTCCTTTCTTTTGGGCTCTTTTTGTGGCGTTTGTGGTGGTGGGAGTTGTGTTTGGGGAATCTTTTTTTGTGGTGGTAAGGGATGCAACACTTTCTTGCTGCCTTGGTGGGTGATAGTATAGGTATTAGTTAGACCATCATGGATTGATTTTCTATCACTTTGCCATGGTCTTCCTAATAAAACGTGACATGCATCCATAGGAATGACATCACACAAAATCACATCAACATAAGAACCAATCTGAAATTTTACTAAGCATTGTCTCCTAACTCCCGTACTTTTACTCTTATCAAGCCAACTCAATTTGTAAGGGGTAGGGTGTCTAGTGGTTTTTAAATCAAGTTTTTTCACAAGGTCACTTGATACAACATTCGCTTCACTACCACTATCAACAATTAAGTTACAAACATCCCCATTAACCTTGCATTTGGTTAAAAAGACATTCTCTCTTTGCAAAGGGTTTCTTTAAACCTCAACTTGCATTTGTAAAGCTCTCCTCAAGACTAGACTGTTTTTTTCGGGGAAACAATCATCACCTTGTTCCTCCTCTTCATTAGAATCATAAGATTCCAAAGGGTCATTTTCAACAACATTTTCATCCTCTAACTCCTCATCTAGGCTAAAAGGTTGAGCCATCATATTTTTTAGCTCTCTCATGGTTAAAGCTCTAGTATTAGGGCAATCCCTCTTATAGTGTCCTCTTCCATGACACTTAAAACACACTATGTCACTCAAGTCCCCGGTTTTGGCAACAACTTTGCCTTTCTCTTTTGGGTCAAAAGAACTTGGGTTTCTTTTGGTGGAATTTGGGAAAGAAGAGTTTTCTTTTGGTGGATTGAATGGACGTTTGAATTTTGGGTCAAAAGAGTTCGAAGGTTTCTTCTTCTTCCTTTGATTATGAAATTTCACCGAAAGCTTACAAGCTTCATCAAAGGTCAGATTGGGTTGCACCTCTACTTTCTCATAAATGTCCTTATCCAAACCAGCCATAAACCTCCCTAATTTGAGTTCTTCATTTTCCTCTATTTCGCACACAATGGAAAGTTTCTCAAATTCTTT